GAGGCGCGCTGGTGCGGCGGCCTCCGCGTGGGCTTCACGCGCCTCGACCCCGCGCGCCTGGCCGCGCGCAGCCTGCCGCCCTTCGTGTGCCCCGACCTGGAGCTGCAGAGCCCGACGTGGGCGGCCGTGCTGCCCGAGGGCAGCGCCTTCCCGGGGAACGTGGTCTGCTTCTGGGTGAACCGCCGCGGCCGCCTCTTCGCCGAGGTCAACGCGGGCCCCCGGCTCCTGCTGCGCACCGGCGTGCTCATGGGCGCCCCGCTCTGGGCCGTGATGGACGTCTACGGGACCACCAAGGCCATCCAGCTGCTGGGTGCGGCCGCCCGCCGGGACCCTTGGGGGGAGGGGAGGCTCGGGTGGTTCTCCGCCCCCATCCTGAGCCGCGGGAAGAACCATTCGTTCGTTCATATTCAGTCAGTTTTTGCATCCGCTCCTGCCCAGTGCCATTCATGAGGATGGGGGCTGGGGACTGGGTCTCTTTGACAGACCCAGTCAAAGAGAGGGCAGCCTTGTCCCTAAAGAATGATAAGAAGAGATGACTAGCACCCCAAACGTCTGTTATAAGGCTGATCACGTTTCACAGAGGGGGAAATTTTGGGCTGGGCTTTGTGGTCTAAGTAGGAGTTCAAGAGTGAGAAGCAGTGGGATCATAAGTGTGAGGGTTAGAGATGCACGGGAAGACTGCCTATGGGGGAAGGTGAGACGATGAGTCAGTGGGTGGGGAAACAGGAACCATCCCTCTAGCCACCTGGAAGGAGAGCGGATCTCAGGGGAGCGAGTAGATAAGATACAGGAACACCCATCAGAAGAAATACTGCATTCCTGTGGTGGTGGTCCACGAGCCCGCACAAGCAGTCCATTCCCCGCCCCCAACCGCAACGCGTTTGTTTCTAAAATCACTTGTCACAGCTGCTGGAGTCTCATCCCTGGAACACTGGTTTGGTGGGTCTGGAGTGGGGCCCAGGCACCTGTTTTCCTGCCTCCGCGGGGATTTTGATGCACATCCCGGGTTGGGAACATGGGTAATGCTGAGGGTCTCCACTCAGGCAGCAGCAGTAGGACAAGGAAGAGATGTCTGAAGGAAGAGTGGTTTAGGAAAACGAATCTACAGCCCCACAGATTCACTGCTGGGTGAAACTGGGGAGGGGATGGCCAGGAGAGCGGGTAAGATCCACTGGGAGCTCCAGCACGGCAAGCCAGAAAGAGAAGGGATGGACAGTGCCCCGGGGCCAGGGGATAGGAGCACCTGCTCGCTCCCCCTGGGCTCTGAGTTTCTCTTTCTGCCTCAGATGCCACAACCAGCGCCTTCCCCAGAGCCCTGCCGTGGGTCCCCAAGGAGAATCTGTCTGAGCCTGAAGGTGAGTGGCTACAGGGGCACCAGGGACTCCCCAGGGCTGTGGCACCCCGGGAGCTGGGGGAGGCCAGGACCCTGCCCGGGAGCTCAGTCAAGTCTCCCACAAGCTTTAGGCCAAAAGATTTGGCTCTGCCTACTGCAAACCTAAAAGCAATTTAACAGCTTTGCCTTCTAGAACATTGGTTGACTTCACAAGTTACCAGAGCACATTCATGAATAGATAATGTTATTTTGTCCCTGCTTTAAAAATGCAATCCACCTTCATAGTAAAGGCTTTGCCAAACAAAGATAAAATAAATCTTAAAGGATAAAGAAGGAAGTAAAAAAAATCATCCGTCATCTCTTGGGTGGATTCCCTCCCAGTGTCTTGTAGTCATGTATATATACGGGGAATTGTTTGTGCTTTGTTTTCCTGTTTTCTAAATTGGGATTTTATGGTATATATGTATGTACATTATGGTTTTCTTCCTGATTTTTTTAACTTGATTACATTGTGAGCATTTTCTCACGAGGTAATATTTTTCAAAATATGACTGCATGACTCTCTGTCCTGTGGTTATATCATGAATAGGCTGTCCCCTTTGCCCCCATGTGCTCCCAACCTCTGTTGTCCCCTTTCCCAGCCACAGCCGGAGAGGAGTGCACTATCTGCTTCCACCGTGCTGCCAACACCCGCTTTGTCCCCTGTGGCCACACACACTTCTGCAGCCACTGTGCCTGGCACGTCTTCAGGGACACGGCCAAGTGTCCTCTGTGTCGCTGGGAGATCGAGGAGGTGGTCCTGGTGTGGGGCTCTTCTCTGAGTCTGCTTTGAGGACTGAAGAAGACCTCCCGGTGCCCATGGCAGATTACACCTAGCTCTGAGCGCGGCCCTGCAGAGGGAGGAGGCGCAGCCCGCCCTCTGATGGAGACGAGTCAGAAAGGCTGGCCAGCAACAGGTGTGGCAGAGAGGGAGGCAGGGGGGCACTGGCTCTTCCCCGCTCCCCAACCGATTGGGGCCAGTGGAGCAAGATGGAGCCCCTCTTTCTGTCCTCATCAGAACTGTCTCCCTGATGGGATGTCTGGCTGTAGAATGTGGCTCAGCAATGGGCCAGCGGACTTCTGATCCATCTCCTTAGCTTCACGTTCATTTGTGCCCAGGGCTTTTGGCTGGCTACCTGGTCCAGCCACTGTAGACCTAGCAATCCCTGGCACACGTGAGTCCCAGGAGTCCCCAGAACCCGTGCGTGTCTGTGAGAACAGCCTTTGTTCAGAGAGGGGCGACCTGATCCCTGACTTGACAGCAGAGGAAGTTCAGGTATCTATGTGTCTGGTGGAAGCCCTGCCCACCCCCCGGGGAATGAAGAGCCTGGACCAGATGCAGGGAGGTGTGTGGGTAGAAGATTTACAGCCCCATGTGGAAGCTGGGTCACCTCTGACCTCCATAAAGCCGATCACTAGTTACCCACCCTGCCTACGTTGCAGGGGGGCTGTGAGGTCCCAGTGAGATCATCCATCTGAAGGTGATTCTGCACATGGCAGTGCACTGTTGTCATTGTGCTTATTTCTTCGCCAGTTTCTGAGATATCAAAATAAAGTTTGTCTTCTATGAATGATCTTGTAATGTCTGTGTCCCCTTTGTTGCTGTCAGTGGGAGTGGGTGGAGCCCTGGGCGGGTCCGGATGCCGGGGCATCTGGGGGCATGCCCTCCTGTCCTCCACAGACATGCCCTCGGCTTGCAGTGGACTGGGTGGGCTCTCGGCACTCAGGCCCTTGGACTGTGTTCTGCGGAGCGCGTGAAGGAGATAGTGCCGCGCTCCCAGCCCTGCAGTCACAGCCAGGCTCTGCCCTTGCCACCCTTGAGTTGGGGGGACTGCCCAGAGGCTCTGGCTCCTGAACGAAGGGAGGAGTTGACGGGGAGCCCACCTCAGCAGGGGTTTGTGGCAGGGGCAAGCCATACCTACTAGTTTGCTGTTGTTCCCTGCTCCTTGACTGGGGGGGAGGCATCTCCAGGGGAAGAGGGCTAAAAGGAGGGGTTCCAGCCTGTTGTGCTCAAAATTGTAATGATGGACACCTCCACAAACTGCCTTCCTGCCCATGCCATAGCCAGCCAGAGGGTCAGGACATTGGGTTTGATGACACTGGAGTAGCTTTCACTCAAGTGGGATCCCCTCTCCCTCGCCCACGAGTGTTCTAACCTTGGACATGTGACTTGACTTCTGTGAGCCTCAGTTTCTTCATCTTTAAAGTGGAAATAAGATAATATTCTTTGCTGGTTAGTTGTGAGGATAACGAATATGAAGGTTGGAAGAAGTACTCGAAATATGGCAGCTCCCTTCCCCCGGAAAAGGCATCTTCTGGGGAAGCAGCAAAGAGATCATTGAGCTAGGCGTCAGGGACGTGGGCTGAGTCCTGGCAGCCCACTGGCTTTTACCAAGGGCCCCCACATCACCCCAATATTTTGGAATAATTCCTATGGATCCTAAAACAAGTTTTTTCATCCTTTAAGTGTCTTTTTTTTTTTTTTTTAACCTCCAGGCTGAAGGCCGTACTTTAATCCTAGTTCCAGTGAGTACCTCCTTCTTACTTAACACCAGGGCAAGCCTGATCTTAGAAATGATCTCTAATCAGAGGTGGGACTTCTGGATTGTGGAGTAAGGACTTCTGTAAATCCATTCCTCCATAAAAACAACAAAAATATTGGCAAAATTATAAAAATCAGCTTTCCCAGAACTCTGGAGAGCAGGCCCCATGGCTTAGTGGTTAAGTGTGCATGCTCTGCTGCTGGCGACCCTGGTTCGGATCCCGGGCACGCACCGACGCACTGCTTCTCCGGCCATGCTGAGGCTGAGGCCGCATCCCACATACAGCAACTAGAAGGATGTGCAACTATGACATACAACTATCTACTGGGCAAAAGATAGTTGGGGGAAAAAAGGAAATAAATAAAATTATATATATATAAAAAAAAAGAACTCTGGAAATTAACCAAAGACTAACAACAATCTGAAGAGGGTTTATCGAAGAGAAACTACTCAACTTTGGTAAGAATTGTGGGGTTTGTCATGTTTTCTTTTGGCCTCCTTCCACCCCTCTAACCCCAGCTCCACAGTAGCCTAGAAAACTAGCAGCCTTGCAGCCACCAGAGGAGATAGAGTGGGTTGGGAGCTTCTCAGAAAGCTCTATCACAGAGCATTGCCACTCTTTGGCCTGTAGTGTAGTTCATGGAAAAGCTTTTTTTTTACAGAGTGTTGTCATTATTTAACCCAACTTGGAGCTCTTTTCATGGGAAAACCCTAACCCCAAGACATTATTTACCCTACTCAGGGATCTGTCCATGGGAAAACCCCTATTCCCAGGGCATTTGTCAAACTTAGTCAGCTTCAATTGTTTAGCATTGCCTCTGCTTAAGACTGATATCAGTTGAGGCAAACAAGAGCCTGGCCCAAAATTTAAAAGGAAGATCTGAGAAATGATATGTCACAGAGGACTTTGAAAAGCTCTGGCATGTTCCTGGGGATCTAAGAGACTGTGTGCATGGTCAAGAAAGGCCTGAGATGGCCCCTGTCTCTCACTTCTGGCTGACCGTGAGGCCCTGTGAAAGCAGGAATTGAAGGCCAAGACAGAGCTGTAAACTGCCTGAGCATTGAAGGCATGCCTCAACCCACACAGAGTTCCTGGGCAAAGGTTGGAAGATTTTCTAGCTCAAGGCATTTAAGCAAATCTCTGTCCAATCTTTAGCTGAACATTAAGCTAACTGAGCAGAAACATCAGTGATTGCACACTACAGGAAATAACAGACTTTACAGAATTAGTCCAGGAAAGTCACTAAACAAACAAATGAACAGCAGTAACAACAAACCCTGGGGGCTTGTGTTCCTGATATTCAGAGTTGCCACATTATGTTATCTAAAAGATCCAGTTTTCAAAAAAATTATGAGACCTTCAAAGAAACAGGAAAGTATGGCCCATGCATAGGAAAAAAAAAAACACTAGAAACTGTCCCTGAGGGAGGCCAGATGTTGGACTTACTAAACAAAGATTCTAAATTAGCTGTTATAAATATACTCAAAGTACTAAAGGAAATCGTGTCTAAAGAATTAAAGGAAAGTATGTCATGATGTCTCACCAAATAGAGAATATCAATAAAGAGATGGAAATTATAAAAATTACCAAATAGAAATTCTGGAGTTGAAATGCACAACACCCAAAATGAAAAATTTACGAGAGGGCCAACAACAGATTTGAGCTGCAGGAGAAGGGACTGGTGAACTTGAAGATAAACTAGGAGAGATTATCTAGTCTGAGGAATAGGGGGAAAAAATGAACAAATCCTTAGAGACCTGTGGGACATCATCAGTTGCTCCAACACACACATAATGGGAATATCAGAAGGAGAAGAGAGCGAGAAAGGGGAAGAAAAAAATATTTATGGAAGTAAAGTCCAAAGAGTTTCTAAATCTGGTGAAAAATACTAACCTACACATCCAAGATCAACAAATCCAAGAAGGATAAACTCAAAGAAACCCACACTGAGATATATCATAGTTAAACTGTCAAAAACCAAAGACAAAGAATCTCAGTGCAACAAGAAAAGACAAATCATTACATATGAGGGATCCTTAATAACAGCTGACTTCTCTTCAGAAATCATAGAGGCCAGAGGGTAGTGGGATGATTTATTGAAAGTGCTGAAAGATAAAAGACTGTCAACCAAGAATTCTATATATAGCAAACTATCCTTCAAAAGTGAAGAAGAAATTAATACATTCCCAGGTAAAGAAAAACAGTTCATTGCTAACAGACCTAGCCTATAAGAAATACTAAAGGAATTCCTTGAGATTAAAATGAAAGGATTGATCTCTAACCTCTCCTCCAGTTTTATAGCTAGGAAAACTGAGGTCCAGGGAGGAGGAAGGATCTTGTAAATGATGGGACAAGAATTAGAATCCTCATTGTAACCACACTGACTCAATCATTTCTTCATTCATCAAATTAATTCCAAAACAAAATAAAACCAGGCACTAGAAACTATTTTAGTATGAGCACAGCCTTATCTGTGTCCTTTGTCCACACTGGGGAATAAATAATTATAGTACAATGTGGTAAATATTAAAATAGTCCATACAAAGAGCTTTTCAACTTCTAGTTCAAGATAGCAGACTGAGCACATATAGTTGTTTCTTTTTACTCCAAATCTCTATAAATTGCTCATAAAAGATCTAAATAAATTCATATCCTAACTTGAAAACAGTACAGGGAACACCTAGTGAACCAAAAGCCGTTATAAAAGATGAAAAACAGATGGGATCAGATTGAAGATGAAAACCATGGACCAAAATTCCACAGAGAGGACTCTTGCAAAAGATGGGAGCAGCTCTAGGGATGCTTCAAACCCAGAACTGGTGAACTGGGAGTAGGAGATGGCCCATGCTTGACTGACCATGAGTGGTTGGGGCATCACAGAATGGACAACCAAGAGTGTTCATCTCAGGCCAGGCAGTGAGCCACAGAGATGTCTGCCCATGGGTAGGAGCAGTGAGGGGTAGATGTCTGGGTCAGAGAGGCAAGGCAAACACCAGACACTGACAGCTCCCTAGGAGAACAGAAGCCTCTATATCCAGAAGGCTAACTGTTGACTCATCTTGTCCAGTAGCACATCCCATCCATTTCTCATTATCACTTTAGACAGGTGCAGTGCAACTCACAACTGCTTATCCTACTCTTTGCAAGCAAGCCCCTTGAGCTAACAAGGAATCTCAGTTTTGGGGGAAGCTCATACCCCAGAAAGGCCAAGTATTTGAGCAAAGCTAATACCATGGGGGGAAAGGCACC